AATGGTCTTGCCTCTGTCACCCGACACTTGGAGTATAGTGGTGCTATTACAGCTCACTGCAACCTTGACCTCCCTCGGGCTCAAGTTGATATCTCTTCCACCTCAGCCTTCTGTAAGATGCTGGGCGACTATTTTATATGGCTTCCTGCCATGTCACCTGGCTAATTTTTGTTGCTTTGTTATTTTATTTTTATTTTATTTTATTTGTTTTTGGGACAGTTAGTCTCGCGTGTGTCGCCAGGCTGGAGTGCAGTTGGCGGATCTCAGTCAGCTGCATCGTTAAGGGCTGTCGCGCCGTGGCCCTGGGGTTCACGCGGCATTCTCCTGCCTCTAGACGCTCGCCACAGTAGCGGACTACACGGCGCCGCCAGCCCTCGGCCCGGCTGAGTTTTTGTGTGATTTTTCTTTAGGGTAGAGACGGGGTTTCGAGCGATGTTAGCCAGGCATTCGGTCTCTGATTCTCCTGCCTTGGTGAATCAACCCGGTCTGCGGCGGCCTCCAGACAGTGGCTGGAATTACAGGTTGAGGCTAGGTTTTTGTCCCGTTTTTTTTTGCGCTCCGCTGATTTTTATTTATTATTTTTATTCTGTGTTGGGAGAAGGGAGTCTCATATGGTCCCCAGGTGAGTTGCGAATGTATTGTTGTTCTTTTACGGTGTGGTCTTAGGCTCAGTGACTGCCACCTCCTAAGTTCAGAGTGATTCTCCTGGCCTTCAGCCTCCCCAGTAGTGGGATTGACCAGGCACCTGCACCGATGCCAGGCTATTTTGTAATTTTTAGTAGAGACAGGTTTCATCATGTTGCGCCTACACTTTGGTCTTGAATCTTTTGCCTTAGGGTGATACGCCACCTCAGCCTCCAAGTGCTGAGATTATAGGTGTGAGCCACCACACCTGGCCATCTGGCTAATTCTAAAATTTTTTGTAGATACAGAGTCTTACTCTGCTGCCCAGCCTGGTCTCAAACTCCTGGGCTCAAGTGATCCTCCCACCTTAGCCTCTTGAGTAATAGGATAACAACTCAATTTGTTTAGAACAGTTTTAGGTTTACAGCAAAGTTGAGTGGAAAATACAGAGTTCTCCTATGCCCCCTCCCCCCCACCCCCCTGCACAACCTCCCTTGCTGTCCACATCCTATACCACAGTGATACATTTGTTAGAATCTATGAACCTCAGCAGACACGGTGGTTCATGCCTATAATCCCAGCACTTTGGGAGGTCAGGAGTTCAAGACCAGCCTGGGCAACATGGTGAAACCCCATCTCTACTAAAAATACAAAAACTAGCCATGCATGGTGGTGGGCACCTGTACTCCCAGCTACTCAGGAGGCTGAGGCAGGAGAATTGCTTGAACCCGGGAGGTGGAGGTGGAGGTTGCAGTGAGCCAAAATCGTGCTACTGCACTCCAGCCTGGGCGGCAGAGCGACACTCCATCTGAAAAAAAAAAAAACAAAAAAAAAACAAAAAA